GTTTATCAATCGATCTGATGTGCTCATGTGCACAGCAGAAAGGATAAGGGAAAACAGAAATGAATGAAAACAAAATACAGTTTAAATCAATGAATGAGATAGCCATAATCAATTGAATAGCATAGTTTTGGGGGTCAATAGAGGCAAGCAGAAATGAGAAGGACTGATTTTTGGAACTGGCAATCTAAGCCAAAATACTTCAAGAGCAGCAGGGACTTTGCCTTCTCTGTGTTTTGTATTGTAAAGAGCTTGAGCTCTTTAATCAGATAGACCAGGCTTTAAATCCTGACTCTGTCACTAATTAGCTCTGTGACCTTGAGCAAATGATCCCTTTTCTGAGCCTCAGTTTCCTTGTCTATAAAACTGAGGTGTATATAATAGCTACCTTGTAAGGTGATGTTTTGGATTAAATGTTATAACCAAAATGTAAAGTTTCTAACAGAGTTTGGAACATAACAGGCACACTGAAAATATCACTTCCCCTTTTCCTTCTGTGCCCCTTTCCATTTCCTATGAGTGCTCAGTACAAGAACAAAATATCCTATGGATGTTCAATCAATTCAGGAATTTTTATGTTATTAAATTTACCACCCCACTCACCCGAGGCCAATATCCCATAGAGCATGTGATCAGAGACCTAGAGATAATCTGAATCCTTTACCCTGATTTGGAGGGAGCAAGCAAACAGGAGAAGTGACTGGCCTGAGCTTCAGAAAACCAATAGAAAGCTGGCACTCTGAGTCTCATGGTTGTACCACACTGAAAAGGCTCTTTGGCCTCTTTGGAAAGGATGTGGGACAACAGGAACATTCATGTACTGCAGACAGAAGTTTAAATGGGGACAACCTCTTAGAAAACAATTTGGCATTAATTAGTAAAGCTGAACACACCCTGTCCACCCTATTACCCAGCTTCCATTTCTGAATTTATACTCCAGAGAAACCTTTTTTTTATTACCTTTTTAATGTTTATTTTTGAGAGAGAGATGTGAGCAGGAGAGGAATAGAGAGAGAGGGAGACACAGAATCTAAAACAGGCTCCAGACTCTGAGCTGTCAGCACAGAGCCCGACACAGGACTACAACCCAGGAACGGTGAGATCATGACCTGAAGTTGGACGCTTAACTGACTGAACCATCCAGGCACCCCTCCAGAGAAACTTACCATGATGTGCCCGGGATCATTGTTCACTACAGTCAAAAACTGGAAACAATCCCATGTCTCTCAGCAGTTGAATGAGACATAAAATTGTGGTACATTCGTACAATGGAATATTATAAAACAATGAGGGGGCGCCTGGGTGGCTCAGTCGGTTAAGCATCTGACTTCGGCTCGAGTCATGTTCACACGGTTCGTGGGTTCGAGCCCCGCGTCGGGTTCTGTGTTGACAGCTAGCTCAGAGCCTGGAGCCTGCTACAGATTCTGTATCTCCCTCTCTCTGTGACCCTTCCCTGCTCAGGCTGTCTCTCTCTCAGAAATAGATAAAAAACATTTAAAAATTTTGAAAAAGAAGATAAACAGCTTCTAAGACACTGCCATTGTTTAATTTCTTAATTTGAGTGATGGCTATATGGTGTTTACATTATTATTGCTGTTATTATTAAAATTACACTTCTGTTCTATATATTCTTCTATATGTATGATACAATCATCCCATAATAAAATAAACCAAACAAAAAGATGCATCTTTAAAAAAAAAAGGGAAGCAGAGAATGGTATTAAAATAGTAATTTTAGAGCTGCAAGAGGCCTTCAAAATCATCTTGTCTAACCATCTTAAGAAACTGGAACAGAGGCCAGAGAAGTTAAGTGACTTACTGTGATTCAGAGGCTAATCTAAAACATAGGTAAACCTCCTGGCTTCTTGTCAAGTGCTCCTCCCACAGACCCACACTGATTGGTCCATCCAGTTCTAGTTTCCCACTATCTTCCAGAATCACCTCTCTCACCTGCACAAACCAGAAAAGTTTCCTAGAGCATTTACTTTCAAATGCCCCCTCTCTGTAAAGAGAGCTTACATACTATTCTTATTTTCAAATCTTATACTCTAATATAAACTTTTGCTGCTAAAAAAAAAAAAAGGAAAAAAGATAACTTACCTATGTTATAGCTTTCTTTCCCTCCTAAATTAGAAATGTTTGCTTTGGAGGGGCACCTGGGTGGCTTAGTTGGTTAAGCGTCCAACTTTCACTTAGGTCATGATCTCGCGGTTCGTGGGTTCGAGCCCCGCGTCAGGCTCTGTGCTGCCTGCCAGCTCAGAGCCTGGAGCCTATTTCAGAGTCTGTATCTCCCTCTCTCTCTGACCCTCCCCTGCTCACGCTGTCTCTCTCACTCTCCTAGAAATAAATAAAAATTAAAAAAAAAAAAAAAAAAGAAATCTTTGCTTTGGGGAAAGGAGATCAGGAGAGAGTATCCTCTCCTCCACAAATACTCCAGCCACTTCGAAAACCACTCAAAAGATCTAGGAGTACAGAAAAAGACCCCGGTATTTTGCCTTGTTAATGCAGCTCTCTTGCTTCTCTGTATCCTATAGTATAGCCACACCAATATGCATGCTGACTTTTGGGCCTTTGAGAAACAAAGGAAAAGGAAAGGGTCTAAAAATCGATAAAAGAAAACTCTTCCTCTTTATGTTTGTCCAAGCACAAGGTTTCCTTTGAGAAGAGTGAGCTCTTCTGCCACCTTGTGACACAGAATGACAACAGCGAGCCCCAGATCTTTTCCTACCACAGCTCCAAGAGGACAGCACTATAATGTGGCATCTAAGAAGGAACAAGTCTATAGGATACTTCAAATAGATGGTGGGGGGCGGTGCGGGGACAGTGTTTGATATCAAAAGGGAGCAGAGAATCATGTAATCATGTTAAGATAATAGTAAGCAAAAATCATGAAACTCAGGGAAGGCAACAATGGAGCCCCTTTATTCTCTCTACCTACCTGCCCTGCAAAGTGAATCAGGCAACTGCAGCAGGGAATGAGGCAGTATTGCTCTGGACCAATAAAGATCTAAAATATGTCCCCTCCATTCAGTGGCCTGACTCTTTCTCCTTTCCACAGCAAAACATCTCAAAAAAGTTAGGTACACTTCACCTCTGATTCCCTCTCAGTCCTTCCCTGCTTCGGCCACTCTGCTGGAAATGCTGTCACAAAATTGTCAAATCCACCAATATGGTCTTTATTATGCACAACCTCAACACTCAGCATCTGACCAACTGACTCCTTCCTCGAAAGACTCTCCTTTATTGGCTTCTATACCATCTACTCTCCTGGTATTCTCAGTTCAGATATCACCTCCTGAGAGAAGTCTGCCCTGACCACGCTAAATGTAACCTCTGCACCTTATCACCTGTTTGCTACTTCACAACTATCACAACTTCTAATTATCTTGTATTTGCATTTGCATATTATCATTAGCCCACCACTATTTTGTTTTCAACTGTGTTTATAGTCTGCTTCCCATCTTTTATGTGAACACAGACTTGGTCTGGCTCACTGGTAGAACAGTGACTGCCACACAGTAGGGCCACAACACTTGTTGAATGAATGAGCCACCATGGCTGAAAGTTCAGCACTTCTTCCACATTTCAGGAAATATACTGTCCTTTGGTGACATCTCTTTCCATTCTGTTTCCCTATCAAAATTTCCTTTGAGCTAAATTTAGCCAATTTTAACCGGAATTAAAATGCCAGGAAACAGAGTAATATCTAAATTACGATTTGCCTTGGATCTCATGAACTCCCTCATGGAAAGTCCTTTGACTCAAGCTCCCTTCACATCATTATCAGAGTATCAGGCTCCAGGACCTTCTTACACATAGTCCAACCTATGTTGGTTCCAATGAATTAAATTTACAGTGAGTAGAAAGACTGCAGAAGTTCTGGACTTAGGCAGAGGATCTGAGTAAATCTTCACTTCTGTTGTATGATCCACCTAGCTATGCTATCACAAAGTCTACAGAGTATAATAGATATATACTCTTTGCTAAAAGATAGTTTTAGAAAAATCTTCAGGGGCCCCCGGGTGACTCAGTCGGTTGGGCGTCTGACTCTTGATCTCAGCTCAGGTCATGATCTCACCGTTCATGAGCTCAAGCCCCATGACAGACTCTGTGCTGACAGTGTGGAGCCTGCTTGGGATTCTCTCTTTCTCTCTCTCTCTCTCTCTCAAAATAAATAAATAAACTTAAGAAAAGAAAAACCTTCAACAACAGCTACCTAAGAAAGCCTTCTCAAACTGCAGACTTTCCTAGTGTTCTTAGCTCTTCCTCACAACCTCTCAATGCAATAGTCATGGCAATGTGGTCTACCTATACTCACTTCACTATTCAGGGATGTGAAAATGTGCAAAACTAGGTAGGCATGTTTGTGCTAATATGAATTTATGTGTGTAACTGAATAAGTTCTACGGATTACTTGGTTGGAAATTCTCTAGTTATAGAGGAGAACACAGATTCAGAGAGGTCAAGCAAGTTGTTCAAGGTTATATAGTTAACAGGGCTTATGCTAAAACCCAATTCTATCAATTCCTAGTCCAGTGCTCTTTCCAGTATAATTCACTAACTCATTCAATCCTAGCTTCCTGTTCTATTCTTGAAATCACCTTGCTTAAAAGAAATCTCTACATCTCATGTATAATGTCAGTGTATAAATCTATATGCCTGTGTCAGTAAGCATGCATGTGAATGTCTACGTGTCTATCTGCAAGTATTTGCAAACCATATCACTGAGTGTTTATGTCCTTTATTCTAGGGAAAATTCTAGGTAATTACAGTTCCTTATGTTGGCACCAGCAGTGAAATTGGAGGAAGACTTTTTTGAATCAATCATTAACAGGCACATTTGGTACTCTCTCCAATCAGCTCTATTCCTAGGTTTTTAGGAAATGGGGCAAAATAGTTAGGGTGGAACTAGACTCTCCCAGGGTCAAACTTGGTTACAGGGCAGTAAGAGCACCTAGCAAGAAAACTAAGAGGCTACTTAAGAAGCATGTGCTCAAGCTAACATGGATACCATCTTGGTTTTCAGCCTAATCATTACATCCTATGATGTCAGCAAGAAAGGTAAATACAGGGATCCTGGGTGGCTCAGTCAGCTGAGCGTCCAACTTTAGCTCAGGTCATGACCTTACAGTTTGTGGGTTCAAGCCCCGCATCAGGCTCACTGCTGTCAGTATTGAGCCAGCCTTGGATCCTCTGTTCCCTTCTTTCTCTGTCCTTCCTCCACTCATTCTCTGTCTCTCTCAAATAAATAAACTCTAGAAAAAAAAAAAAAAAGAAAGAAAGGTAAGTATTTTTGTAATCTAATATCCTAGAAAATCCAAAGAGACCCCTAGAATGTGTTTGCGGGCCCATTCCACCAGATAGAAATAAAGCCAATACTCAGTAGGTGAGGTTGTACAGTCATCCCCTGTGTTCTCTTGCTTCTAGGCAGGACTGTAACTTATTTAACTCAGAGAGATAGTTGTTTCATGGTGCAAAGTCTTTAGAGAATGTGATGCATTTTTCTGTCTTATTCATATGACTAACATTGAAAGTCCTCTCACTGATAGATGGCTTTCTTTACTGGAGGGTGCTGTCACACTTTCAGTATTAGCAACACCTAAGACTCCCAAATTCATAACCCTCATAAGATGTTGTCTTCCTTTTTTAAGGTGGTACATCCAAACAGATGGGATATTCTTGGGTTGGGAGAGGTCCGAGTCAGGGTGGTAGGGTGGAATGGCACCATTTGCTTCTCTGTGATAACTGTTTATTTAAAACATGATTTTTTAAATGTTTTATTTATTTCTGAGAGAAAGAGACAGCATGAGCAGGGGAGGGTCAGAGAGAGAGGGAGACACAGAATCTGAAACAGGCTCCAGGCTCCAAGCTAGCTGTCAGCACAGAGCCCAAAGCGGGGCTCAAACCCACGAACTATGAGATCATGACCTGAGCCGAAGTTGGACACTTAACCGACTGAGCCACCCAGGCGCCCCAAAACATGATTTTTTCAAAGTGTCCTAAGATTTCATCTCCAAAACTACCTAATCAGAGTTAAGGCCAAACAGTCAAGGTGCAGAAGTTCAATACATTTAATAAATGAAGAAAACTCACACCTTGTGAATTATGTGCCAAAAAGCATAAACTATGACCTACGGTTTCATGGAAACCTGAAGAGGTACCTTGTTCAAAGTTATGTTTAATAAACTTTCAAAAGGTTATTTTGGGGGGAGGAAAGGGGGCAGAGTGGGATAGAAAGCGAATCTTCAGCAGGCTCCATGTTCAGTGTGAAGCCAGGCATGGGGCTTGATCTCATAACTCTGGGATCATGACTCAAGCCAAAATCAAGACTCGGATGCTCAACCGACTGAGTCACCCAGGCATCCCTCAAAAGTTTAATATAGGAAGGCAGGGGCTCCTAGGTGACCCAGTTAAGCATCCAACTCTTGATTTTGGCGTGGGTCATAATCTCATGGTTTGTGCGATCAAGCTCCATGTCAGGCTCTGTGCCAACAGCGTGGAGCCAGCTTGGGATTCTTCCTCCCTCCCTCTCTCTGCCCTTTCCCTACTTGTGATCTGTCTCTCTCAAAATAAATAAATAATTTTAAAAATATTTTAATATAAGGCAGATAGAGCAAGAATAAGAAGAAATAATAAGCCGCATTTGAAGGAATGGGTTAGTTATCTTTTCATTAACTTACTAGCTAATTTCACTTAACTTGATTTCACCTTCTTTTCCTCCTTAGTAGATTGGTACTCAGTATTCTTTGTGCTAGGCTAACTCCTACTTGTATATATTTTAAAATCTTTTCTGATAGTATTTGATCTCCCAAATTGCAAGTTATATGAAAAGGTACTGCATTATTTTGCATCTCCCTCTCCAATACCTGAAATCTGAAGACTACCCAATAAATTATAAATCCTGACCTTTTCTCTCTTTCTCTCTCTCTCTCTCTCTCTTTTTTCCCTAGAACTCAGAGATAGCAACTGTCATGCGAAACAGCTGCCTGAGCTTTTCCCAAAGGATGTGAGAGGAATCAGGGATGTGCTAGTGCAAGGCAGGGAATGGGCCCTTCCTAAAAAATCATTTTGCCATTCCAGAAAGTCTGTATGTTTAAAAGATGCCTGTCTCTCCTGTTCCCAGCCCAAATCTCAAATATCTTATTTTAAAAAATATTTTTAATGTTTTACTTTTGAGAGAGAGAAATGGAGTGTGAGTAGGAGAGGGGCAGAGAGAGGGAGACACAGAATCTGAAGCAGGCTCCAGTCTCTCAGCCCAATGGGGTCTCAAACCGACGACGAGCTGTGAGATCATGACCAGCACCATGCTTAACCAACTGAGCTACCAGACACCCCTCAAATGTCCTATTTTAAAGATATGTATCCCCTTAAGAAGCTTTCTGGAAGCCAATTTTTAATTAACAGTTATTACTTAAGGCATGGCTATATAAATCAAATGCTGAGGGTGAAGAAAGAGAAGGAGACCACACCCAACCGTCTCTGCATTAAAAACAATCTATGAGCACTTCTCTGGGCTGAATTTACTGCAGTCATCTATCTTCATGAGACCCGTGGCAGGAAGGAGGGAAGGCAGGGCTTGTATATTTAGAACCATAAATGCATGTTGAGGAAGAAGTGAACTAAAAAAGAGAAGTACAGCGTGGAATTTTAACAGGTATCATGAATGGAAGTTGTTTAGCTGGGTACCATTCAGATTAAGAACTGGCTTCATTTTTCTGTCTGGCTTTTCTTCTTCCAGAGGATCAAACAGAAGGCAAAAGGTCTACATTCATTCAAAATCAGGCTGTGGCTACCCTGCAGTGCCTTGGCTCTGGGAGCAAAGTGAAAGTCAACCTTGTATATTCAGAGAAAAGGTCAAAGGTCAAGCATACTCTGAAGAACTTGAGAGTCATTGCTGCTCCCCACAGAAATGGCACTGCCTCTCCAAACTGTCACCTAACCCCCACATCCAAGTTTCACACTGGATCCTTTCTAACAGGCAAAGGTGAGACTGGCAAATAAGATGGAGGTAGGCACTGAGTTTTAGTTGACATCCTTAAAAGCAGGTGGGGCCTAGTATAGCTAAAGCCTCACGGAAAGGGATTATTCTCTCCTTGGGCAGGTCTATGTCTTCTCTGAAAATCAGTTTGCTAATCTCTACAGGTCCTGACATGCTGGAATTTTCATGCAATCTTCATTTCTGATGGGTCCTCTTTTTTTTTTTTCATTTTATTTATTTGAGAGAGAGTGAATGAATGAGCACATGAGTAGGGGAAGGGCAGAGGGAAAGAGAGAGTCTTAAACAGGCTCCACACTCAGTGTAGAGCCCATCATGGGGCTCAATCCCAGACTGTGGGATCATGACCTGAACTGAAATCAAGAGTCAGATACTCAACCGACTGGGCCACCCAGGTGCCCCAATAGGTCTTCTTTCGAGAATTTTCTTATTCGAATTTTATTTATTTTGAATGTACCCAGTAAAATACTCAAATTGCACAGATTTATAGTGAAAAGTGCTGACAGGGTGGAGCCTGCTTGAGATTCTCTCTCCCTCTCTCTCTCTGCCCCTCCCTGCTCTTTCTCTCTCAAAATAAATAAATAAACTTTAAAAAAATAGTTGATAGCTATTACTAAATTACCCTCCATAGCGGTTACTCCATTTTGCACTTCCTCCCACACTGTGAGAATGCCTGTTCCCTCTCACCTGCTGGGCTGCTTAACCCTTAAGTTTCTCTGCTCTGCCCTCCTTTCCTTCCCCTACCCATTCTGTCTGTCTGTCAAATAGTTTATGGTTTTGGCAGTTTCCCTTTACATATAGGCTAGATACATATAGGCAGTTTCCCTTTACATACAACCTAGATGCTACTGCTGGAAAAAAAACTTGACACTTTTAGAGAAACTAGAATAATGGGGGAAAAAACTTTAAAAACCAGTCTGTTTAGAGGACTAGAGATTGGCAAATTAAGTAGATAGATTCTTGGGATGTGGCCTAGGTACTGTAAATTATATATTCTCACAGGACATGCATGAATGGTTTCATTTCCTTGATTGTGCTTTCTAAAGTTCATATGGTAACAATTTGTGTGTGGGGGGGGAACCCTCTTATTAAAAACGTAAAAGATTCTGGGGCGTCTGACTGGCTCAGTTGGTTAAGTGTCGGAGTTCGGCTCAGGTCATGATCTCGTGAGTCCAAGTCCCACTTCGGGCTCTGTGCTAACAGCTCAGAGCCTGGAGCCTGCTTCAGATTCTGTGTCTCCCTCTCTCTGCCCCTACCCTACTCACACTCTGTCTCTTTCTCTGTCTCTCTCAAAAATAAACATTAAAAATTAAAAAAAAAGATTCAGATAGCATTTGGGTTTTTTTAATCACTTGATATTAATGTAAAGTAATTCAACCAGATTGTTTTCCTCCTAACAGTTAACATCCCCCTTGAGTCAATGGCAGGTGTCAATATAGTGAATTTAAGTCATTCTGGAGTCTAGAGCAGTCTGTACAAGGTGGATTTTATTTTGATATAGTGCTGTGCATTGTAGGGTTCTGGGAAATTAAGGACACTATTTCTTAGAAATTTGGAACAAAGAAAACTGGGATATTAAGGGGGTGAAGGGATGCCAGAGATCATCCTGATGTAATTCAAAAATCTTCCCCGGGCATGTTTCTTCTTCCTTCCTTCATGGCACAGTGATTGGTTCCCGAATGCAGAATTTAAGCTAATACCCTGTACTACATGAGACATGCAAAGGGATTAAATGGAGATTTGTGGGTTAGTTTGCAGACCTAATTGTCATTCACATTACATTTTGATGGAACAATGATGAATTCCAAACAACCAATTTATGAATGGACTTTTGAAAAACCACCCATTTAAAAATCTGAAACTGCCCATTCTGAACTTAAACTTACATTGTATACCAGGATGTAAGAGACTCCAAGTACGGTAGAAATAAAAATTAAATAAACAGTCAAATATACAAGGTCATAAAAGAGATGCCCTCTAAAATTACAACACTATGGTTGACATCAGTCTGCACAGAAAGCTGTCCCAGAAACAGTTTGTGAAAATGTTCACAAAGTAGGAATTTGAAACTGTAAGGATGAGAATATACTACAACAGTTAGTCATCAGAAGATGTGGGTCAACATGGAATATAGAAAAATTTATTCTATTTATTACTGTTTATGGAATTTGGCAGATGAAAAGATCCTCTATTATAAATATTCTAAAATTTCTTTCTGGTGGAGAAAGAAGACTCATTAGGTCTTTATTACTAATAGTTTACACCATCTAGTTCTTATTGTTCAGATTCTGTATTAGTCAAAAATTTCTAATTAGATTTCAAAAGAACCTATATATTTATAACAGGGTACCTAAGAGAGAAAAATCCTACCTGATTTGATGGATACATTCATTCTCCTATGTAATTTTTTTTTAAGAGAGAGTGGGCATGCAGGAATGTAGGGGGAGGGGCAGAGGGAGAGAGAGAAAGAGAGAATCTTAAAGCAGGCTCTATGCTCAGTGTGGAGCCCAATGTGGGGCTGGATCTCACAACCCTGAGATCATGACCTGAGCCAAAATCAAGAGTTGGACGCTTAACCAACTGAGCCACCAATGTACCTCTCCTATGTAAGTTTTTTAAACTTTAGTATATAGATTTAGTATATAGATTAGGCTCTTTAAAATTTGATTAGTGTGAACCAACTCCTAACGACTGTTTACCCCATGTGAAACTGGGGTATAGAAGTAATAACATCAAATGAGAGTTTATTCTGTTATTAATATCATTTATGACAAGTTACTTAATTTCTCCAGTGCTTAGTTTCTACAGCTGTAGAATGACAGATTGGACCAGATGATATAATTTCTAGATATAATAAGTGAGGTTCAGATCTGAAGTACAAATTCAACAGAATTATGAATTATGTAAGGCCTCCCAAATAAACTCTTGGTATTATTACAGAATAATCTCCAAATGTGATTTCCATTTAAATATCTATGCCTAATGTTCCCTATTTAATATAAATTCTTTTGTAATAAAGCAAAACATCATCTCTTAAATTATCCATTTCATACATTTGGAGTTTGTATGCCCTTAAAGGGGCATTCTTGCTCAAATATCCTTAGCTAAAGAAAAACAATATTACAATTCCAGCATCACTGGGAATGGAGTGCTTGGATTTACAGATGTGCTCCACCTAAATGCTAAGTTACTTAGCAGATGAGACCTAAAAGAACTGCCAATATAGATGGACATTAATTCTGAAGCTTAGGCAGAACTGAAAACACAATGACAGATGAAGCTTATTAAGTAGACTCTGAAACTGGGCCTCCCAGGAGCTGGGAAGACATGCCACACTGAAATACCATTATCCCTGTAGCTAGAGGGCACAGTTCTACTAGAGGATCACTAGGTTTTTCCTTCTCTTTCAGTCTTAATATATCACTCTGTTTGCAAAGTATTTTCACACCTGGTTCCTCATTTTTATTTGTTTCTGATCTTCACATTACCCCTGTGAAGTAGGTAGATTGAGAATTACTTTATTATAACCATCTTACAGAGAAAGGAAACCAAAACACAGAGCACTTACTTGACTTGTTCAAAGTGAGATTTGTTTATCTTCCATCTCCTCTGTCTCATGAACACTCATGTTATCACTTCACAGAACTGATTGGCATCATGCTGAAAATACTTTATATAATTTCCTCGTTTTTCCTTTTGAACCTGTTGGCTCTCCATCTCTGCCTATCTTTGCCAACACTGTCTCCCTGATTAAAGTGAAATCAGGGACTATTTCTTCCTCTGTAATTTCATGTGCAGTGCCAAGTACTCTGGCCATTGGCCTCTGAAGTCAGGAACTATCATTTTCACATGGACTTAATCAAGACTTGGGAAAATAATTTACAAAAGTCAAGTAGGACTTACAGACCTTAATTTAATAAGCAGTGATAAGAGACCATTAAAAATGAAATAGGAACCAGTGTCTGAATTGGAGTAGGTCAATTTTGGAGCCAAATGGTTAGTTCCAGATGACAGCCAGAACCCATCCGTGTCTCAACACTTCCACAGCTGGTTTAAGTCACCATCATCTTTCATTTGGATTTCTGCAATAGCTTCCAAACAGGTTACTTTGCCTTGACCCTTGTCCCATATAGTCTATTTCTAACATAGCTGTCCAGTGGTCCTTTAAAACAAACTCAACCATCACCCCTCTGCTCAAAACCTTGCAATGGATCCCCCATCCAATCAGAATAAAAACCAAAGTCCTTAAACTGGCCTCCAAGTCTCCTGATACAGACCCATTTCTTTAAGAAATTTCCTCATCTCCTACTACAGTGCCCTGTGCTCACTCCATTCCAGTGTCACTGGCCTCCTTGCTTTTCCTGTAAAACTATGTCAGACACACTCATTCTGCCTCTGGGCCCTTTCTAGCTGTCCCCTCCCCCTAGGTCACTGCTTTCCTAGGCCTGTGCTTAGCTCATCCCTCATCTTCTATAAGCCTTGACTTACTTCTCATTTTTTCAACGAAACCAGCCTGTATTGCAGGTTGCCCAGCCTGTATCACAGGTTGCCCAGCCACTGCCCACTCACACCCCCAGACTGCTCCCTTACCTTGCTCTGACTTTTTTTTTTAGTAGCACTTACCCTCTTCTAACATACCATAAAGTTTACTGTATTTACTGTTGTCTGTTTCCCTGTCTCCCCTCAACCCTTCTTCCCCTTGCTTGTTCCCTTGCTCGAATGCATCCAACTGATATATCCAAAGTACTGAAGCAGCCTGGTACAGAACAGAGATCATTTGCTTTCTGAAAGAATGAAACTGAGGAATGTATGAAGTTGGGTGGTCTTTCATTCTTCTAGCTCTCTCTCCTTTCCCCAAACTGCTCTCAAAGTAGTTGACTTAGACTTTAGGCAGACAGACTTGCAGAGGTCATTAAGGCAAATTATGGTATTTCACATCCTTCCTTGGATGTTGGAGCCAACTTTTTTAAAGGAGGAAACTTTCAACAGTGTTACACTCCCCATCCTTACTATTATTACAGGCTGAAAAATGATAAACAAGACATGGTCTACTACTTCACTCTGATCCTACATTACTCAAGGCCTCATGGGGATTTACTCCATATCCCTCACTACTATCTCTATCCTCATTTATTCTTGGCATATTTTGTATCCACACCCTAAACCTATGGGCAGATCAATGGGGTCAATTAGAAGTTTAGTATCAGCTGGGTAGAGATAAGGTTTTGTCAGGTAAAACAAAGGCAGGATGAAGTTTTCTCTGTTGTCTTTTCATTGTTTCTTTCTTGTTTTATTGCTTTTTTATCAGGGATCTCCCAATGTAAGGTCTATGAAGTGATGAGGGCTGTATCAGAGACTTTTCCTACCACCACCTCAATAACTCCTGGTAATAAAGAAGGAGAGAAAACTACAAGTATTGATGATTTTTCTAGCCCTTTGAAACAAGGTACAGAATAAGTGGGAGTGAGACAAGAACAGAAAAAAAAAGAAGCATTTTTAGCCCCAACATAAGTTTGGGTCTTCTAGGATTTGGGGGGAGGTTGAGAAGTTACATGGAGTTTACACTAGAAAATAGCTCCATTTCTTATAGAAAAAAATCAGCTTCTCTATAAAGAAAGTACTAGAAATGCATGTAGTTTGACACTATTAATAAGCTTTTACCTCCACACAAGTGAGCCTGCAGCCAGATTTAGAGACAGAATGAGTTGTATTTGTGTGGTAGGTCATTCTAGCAATTACATGTACAGGCAGACAACATTTAAACACTAAGCATCATTACAGTGAGGACAACAACGAAGAGCATATTTTCACTGGCACTGTTTTTAGGAAGTGGCTCTGCCTAAACTGGCCAGGCCTCAATTTCTGTAGATTTCAGGTTAGGTTACATCCCAGTTCCAACAGGAGAAATGTAAATGCAACATTAGTAATAACAAGATGCATATGAGCAATTTGCCCCAAGCTTGCCTTTTGACTCCAAAGCAATGCGAATTCACCTTTGTTCCTCCTAATCCCCACTAAAGCCAAGAGGAGCATGGGAAAGGTTATTTTCCAATTACACACAGTGCGTCGGTCTAAGAACAAGGGGAGAGACCCTGAGAGGGGCTGGTGAAGGACAAGTTCAGAACTGCTGTACACCCACCCTTCTTCCTCCCCCGAATGCAATGCCAAGAATCATTCCTACTTGATCATGGCAAATCTCAAATACCAGAGGAGATAACTTATTGGAAGAGGCTGCAAAGGAGGTTAGAGCAGAGCCCATGATGCCCACCCCACTCCTGACTCTGAGTCTGAACTGGAAATTCAGTCTATTGCCTCTGAATCAGGCTAGGCCTAGTAGTCTGGGGAGCCAGAAGACCTTCAAGTCAGACAGTCAATCTCTTTCCTCTCTCAAAGTTTTTCTTCTCCCTCTTCTACTCCTCTCTCTCCTTTCAGACACAGATGAGACCCTAGAGAAGAGGCAGAAATTGAGCATTGTGGTCAAATTTCTGATTGCTGTCACCCTGTTGTTAAGTGGAGTCGCCATTATAGTATTTGTCATTTTTGAAGTCCCATGACCCGTAAGTTTGTTGATGTACAGGGTCCTTGGACTTGATGATAAGACTTTCTTCTGTTCCAAAGGCAGGTTGGCATAATGAAAAGAGCATGGACTTTGGAGTTTGGATAGACCTGCCACTCACGCTTACTAGCTGAGTGGCTTTAAGAAAGTTGCTTGACTTCTCCAATGTCAGTTGGCTCATCTGTAAAATAGGACTAGTGATATTTGCCTCTCATGGTGTTTTTAATTAAGATCCTGTGTGAAAGGCACCTGGCACATAGGAGGTGCCTGCTTATTTGAGTTCCCTTCCTCTGTTGTACTTAGACATTCTCTCGGGAGGGCAGATCCAATGGGACTGAATATTTTCTTTAAAAAAAGATAATTTTCTTTAAATGGCCCAACAAGAGGTTTGGGAGATAACCAAATGCATAGTAGCCACCTGAAATTAACACCATTTTCTCCCTTCAGAGTCAATGTCAGGGAGCCAGACAGCTATGCCAATGCCAGAAGTTGTGCAGAAGGTAAAAGAAGGAAGGACAGAAACCTGGGGCAGATGAATCTCAGCTTGACTCTCAGCCCAAGAAGGAAAGTGGTCTCTGTATGGTTTATGTCATTTGCTTGGAGAAAATGAGGTAAATATATATGTGCTGGGAGACAAGAGCTACTTTGGTTATGAAGCAGATGTTGGTAATTCTTTTATGTGTCAGGAAATAGGTAGGTATTTGTACTCTTCTTTTGTTTTCTTATGATCAGCCCAGCCATGGAGTGCCTGGGTGGCTCAGTTGGTAAAGCATCAGACTTTGACTCAGGTTATGAGCTCACACTCTGTGAGTTTGAGCCCTGCACTGGGCTCTGTGCTGACAGCTCAGAACCTGGAGCCTGCTTCAGATTCTGTATTTCCCTCTCTCTGTTTCTCCCCCACTTCTTGTCTGTCTGTCTCTCTCTCTCAAAAATAAATAAAAACATTAAAAATTTTTTAAAAAGAAAATACATTATTTATGAGCTTCAGATACAAACAATCAGAACATCTACAGTGGGGCCAGGAATTTTTTAAGATTTGTTTAAATATTTTTTAAATGTTTATTTATTTTTGATAGAGGCAGAGAGAGAGGGAGACATAGAATCTGAAGCAGGCGCCAGGCTGTCAGCACAAAGCCTGATGCAGGGCTCAAACTCGCGAGCAGTGAAATCATGACCTAAGTCAAAGTTGGACACTAACCAAGTGAGCTATCCAGGCACCCTTTACTTTTAAGCTTTCTAACAAGTTCCCTACGTAAAGGTGGATTTACTGTGAAATTAATGAAGCTTAAACTTCAAGACCCATGGGACTTACATAAAGCTTGTATCCAATTCTGTATTTTTAAAATTTGTATTCTTTTTCTTTAAAAAGGGTACCCTCAAATTTTAAGAGTTCAGCATCCCTGCTCCTACGTAACATATATACAACAAAGCTTAGGAAACACTGCACTGAAAAGTTTGAATATTTAGCAAAGCAGCTTCTTTCCTCCTGGCCCTTGAGTTTCCTGACAGCCTCATAAGCTCGTAATGCCCTTTGGGATCTAAAACAGATATGACACCACTGTTTCAGCATGGCTGCTTTAAAACCAGTTTCCCTGCCAGAAGTGGACTCAGCCTTTCAATACTAGAAAGTGATGTGTGTCTTCTCTACAACATCCACAAATCCTCGCTAAGATGAGGTCTCTGATACTTTTAAAATTAAAGTTGGGGGTGCTAGGGTAGCTCAGTCAGTTAAGCATCTGACTTTTGACTTCAGGTCAGGCATTGATCTCATGGTTCCTGAGACAGAGCCCCATGTCAGGCTCCATGCTCACTCTCTTTTTCTCTCTCTCTCTCTCTGATTCTCCCCTGCTCACTCTCTTTCTTTGTCTCAAAATAAATTTAAAAACTTAAAAAAAAAATCCTACATGGTGTACTAGAAGCTGAATAAGTTCTGGAGATCTAACACATAACATAGTGATTGTAGTCAATACTATATTATATACTTCAAAATTGCTAAGAGACTAGATCTTAAATGTCCTCACCACAAAAAGAACCACTAATCATATGACATACAGAACTGTTACAATGGTAATCATATTGCATTATATAAGTGTATAGTCAACACACTGTACACAAACTTACACAATGTTCTATGTAAATTATATTTCAATCTTTAAAAATTCAAGCACAGCAGGGGTGCACCTGGGTGGCTTAGTCGGTTGAGCATCTGACTTTGGTTTGGGTCATGATCGCACAGTTTGAGTCCCTCATTGGACTCTATGCTGACAGCTCAGAGTCTGCAGGCTGCTTTAAATTCTGTCTCTGTCTCTCTCTGCGTCTCTTGAAAATAAATAAAACACTTAAAAAAGTAAATAAAATAAAATTCAAGCACAACATTCTTTCCACCCAGGCATGGCATCAAGAATAATTCTTTTTTTTTAATGTTTTATTTATTTCTGTGAGAGAGAAAGAGAGAGAGAGAGAGACAGCTTGAGCAAAGAAGGGTCAGAGAGAGAGGGAGATACAGAACCTGAAACAGGCTCCAGGCTCTGAGCTGGCTGTCAGCACAGAACCTGACACGGGGCTCAAACCCACGAAATGTGAGATCATGACCTGAGCCAATGTTGGATGCTCAACCGACTGGACTGAGCAACCCAGGCGCCCCAAGAATATTTCTTATGACAGTGCTCCAAGTACCCAATGGCAACTTATTTGTCATCTCTGGTGTAGGTTACTATTTTCTATAGTCCTGTGTCTGCTAATATTGGATGATAAGCTCATGTAAATTAGCATGATTTAATCAAATGGATGTATGTTTAGTTCTTTACTCCAATCTGCATTATTTTTTTTCTTAAAAAGTTTATTGTCAAGTTGGTTTCCATATAATACCCAGTGATCATCCCAACAAGTGCCCTACCTCCTCCATGCCCATCACCACCCTTCCCCTCTCCCCCACCCCATCAGCACTCAGTTTGTTCTCAGTATTCAAGAGTCTCTCATGGTTTGGGGGCGCCTGGGTGGCTTAGTCGGTTAGGCGTCCGACTTTCGCTCAGGTCATGATCTCGCGGTTCGTGGGTTCGAGCCCCGCGTCGGGCTCTGTGCTGACTGCCAGCTCAGAGCCTGTAGCCTGTTTCAGTCTGTGACTCCCTCTCTCTCTGACCCTCCCTTGCTCACGCTGTCTCTCTCTCTCTCCTAGAAATAAATTAAAAAAAAAGAAAAAAAGAGTCTCTCATGGTTTGCCTCCCTCCCTCTCCCCAACTATTTTTCCCCTTCTTCTCCCCCATGGTCTTCCATTAAGTTCCTCCTAGTCCACCTATACGTGCAAACATATGGTATCTGTCCTCTGCCTGATTTATTTCGCTCAGCATAACACCCTCAAGTTCCACTCATGTTGCTACGCATGGCCAGTTTTCATTCTTTCTCATTGCCATGTAGTATTCCATTGTATAGATAAACCATATCTTCTTGATCTATTCATCCGTTGAGGGACACTTAGGCTCTTTCCATGTTTTGGCTATTGTTGAGAGTGCTGCTGGGAACATTGGGGTACATGTACCCCTATGCATCAGCACTCCTGTATCCCTTGGGTAAATTCCTAGCAGTGCTATTGCTGGGTCATAGGGGAGTTCTACTGTCTATTTTTGAGGAACCTCCACACTGTTTTCCAGAGGGGCTGCACCAGTTTGCATTCCCACCAACAGTGTAGGAGGGTGCCCGTTTCTCCACATCCTCGCCAGCATCTATAGTCTCCTGACTTGTTCACTTTAGCCACTCTGACAAGCGTGAGGTGGTATCTCAGTGTGGTTTTGATTTGGTATCTCAGTGTGGTTTTGATTTGATCAAAACCTGATGATAAGGGATGCATCGTTTCATGTGTCTGTTGGCCATCCGGATATCCTCTTTGGAGAAGTGTCTGTTCATGTTTTCTGCCCATTTCTTCACTGGATAATTTGTTTTTCGGGTGTGGAGTTTGGTGAGTTCCTTATAGATTTTAGATACTAGCCCTTTATTTGATATGTCATTTGCAACTATCTTTTCCCATTCCGTCAGTTGCCTATTAGTTTTATGGATTATTTCCTTTGCCATGCAGAAGCTTTTTATCTTGATGAGATTCCAATAGTTCATTTTTGCTCTTGATTCCCTTGCCTTTGGGGATGTGTCAAGTAAGAGATTGCTGCGATTGAGGTCAAGGAGGTTGTTTCCTGCTTTCTCCTCTAGGGTTTTGATGGTTTCCTGTCTCACGTTCAGGTCCTTTATCCATTTTGAGTTTATTTTTGTGTATGGTGTGAGAAAATGATCTAGTTTCATTCTTCTGCGTGTTGCTGTCCAGTTCTCCCAGCATCATCTGTGAAAGAGGCTGTCTTTTTTCCATTGGATACTCTTTCCCGCTTTGTCAAAGATTAGTTGGCCATACACTTGTGGGTCCAATTCTGAGTTCTCTATTCTATTCCATTGGTCTGTGTGTCTGTTTTTGTGCCATTCATTATTTCTACTGACCACTGGAAGAAACAGGCCTGAAGGCGAATAAAAAGTCTAGTCCAGAGTTAAAGGTAAGTAGCAACATGGATTGCTCCAATTAACAAAATAAGCTACTAAATGATAAAGGAATAAAAAGAATAAGCAATTTTATAGACATTACCTCATTTGAGCCTCACAGAAACTGATATTTAAACATTTTATTGATATTTAAACTGAGGCCCAAAGAGGTTATGTGACACAGAGCTGACAGACACAGAACTAAACTCCGGGTCTTTTATTCCTATACCGAAGTTTTACTGAAAGCCTTCTGTGTGCCAAGCTCCTTACCTTTAAGAGGCTCACATTGTATATTCATAATAGTTAAGTATCTAGAAAGTACACAGAAAATCAGATGGGCCATGGAATCAGATATACTGAGAGTGGAATAGGATCAGTAAAAAATATTTTGGTCTACAGAGAGTCAAATCTGCCTCTTTTCAAATACGGTGAGATTGTGTGAGTCTGATTCAAGAAATGAAGTGGAATCCCTATACATTTGGGATCCAAAGTAGATGAACACTCAGGGTCTTTTCCATTCAAGGCGAACAGGTAAAGCAAGGGGTGGATGGATTCTTTGCTAGAGGGTTATAGGGTCCAACCAATTGTAGGTTCTCATGCATAAGTGCACCTTGCTGATATTTTCTCAGTGTAAATACAGTAACTTTTCCTAGAATTACTGGGTAACAAAGAGGCAAAATGATGTGTACTTGGAATTAAATGGAGTTTTGTATCAAGCCATCTCTTTGTTGGTATATGAAGAAAAACCCATTTGCATCCTTCTTTATCTCTCATATTTCTTTTCAATCTCTAGGTTGAACAAGATACTCCCAACTCGTCAAGCCCAAACAAAGCTGCAGGAATCACTGTCATTCATTAGACATACTTCTGAAAAGTTCTTCTCCACTCCACACACTGAATGGAGGATACTACACTGTCTTCTCCCTATTATTAACCAATGTTGGCAGGTTCTTGTGGATTTTACACTCGTATCTTCAATGGGGACATTACAAGCAAACAGTAATGCCAGCCCAAGAAGGAGCCCAGGCTTAGCAGTTAGACTTACTCTCATGCAATTGCTACTGACTTAGACACAAGCCTCTGAGATTCACTTCGTCCATCCACACGAAAGGGTATCTTTTCATCCCATCCAATGAGAACAAAAAGTCTTCCCTCTGAGCACTATGAATGGACCTATTGCTCTCTTTGACAAAAGATTTAAACATAGCCTCCAAGGAAGTGGGCAAAGCAGTCACTAGTGTGGCACAGTTTACCAACTCCTCTGTTATCCTCACAGCTCTTTTCATGCTCACTGGCTTTCAACCAGCTTAGGGTGGGGGGGTTCCTGTGTTCCCAGGCTGATGTTCATAGGGTTATGATTTAACCTCCGCCACTATATGTAGCTGTCTACACACTGGTGAGGGGAACACGACCCTGAGCATTCCAGAAATCCTCCTTCTAACTCATCTCCAGGGGGCTTAGGGACTGCATACAAATAGGATACACATGCGGTCTCCTGATAATCCACAACTTTTCCAAGGGAGCCTGACATTACACCCTACACTGTAATGGTGAGCTGAGTATATTTTGTTTTTGTTTTTAAAGTTAATTTATTTTTGAGAAAGAGAGAGACAGAGTATGAGCAGGGAAGGGGCAGAGAGAAAAGCATACACAGAATCCGAAGCAGGCTCCAGGCTCTGAGCTGTCAGTACAGAGCCCAATGTGGGGCTCGAACTCCTAGACCACGAGATCATGACCTGCGCTGAAGTTGGATGCCCAACCGACTGAGCCACCCAGGCACCCCGAGCTGAGTATATTTTGAACAAGGGTTCCAGAACAAAACAATTACGATGATCTTTCTTACAAAGGCATAGCTCTGAGAAAGTCTGACCTGCTCAAGTAAGTCTGGTGAGAAAGCAGGACTAGCTGATCTTAAAAGGAAAAGGTTAAAAAAAAAAAAAAAAAAAGAACACTAGGAAGGATAAGACTGTTGTTTTCCTTTTATTATAAGAGTCTTGAAACCATTCCATTTCATTTTGGTGAAATGTACCTATTTCTAAGTAATTCTGTTTTCTTAGTTCTCTGGTAAAAATCATACACAAATTGTATCCTTCTCTCTTTCACTTCAAGTACTGTCCAAAAAAGTGATTCTCAAAACAATACAACATGGGAAAATATCTTGCCTAAGCCGTTATTTAAGATTCAAGGTGATCCTGGAAGAGATAAAACAGATACAAAGTACAGAAGATGAAGTTTTGCAAATACAGTAGGTAGAGAGGACAGAGCACTGGGGCTGCCATTTGGATAAGTGAGTATATTATTTGCATCCCACCACTGATTCACAACATCACCTCCAGTTTATCCTGCCATATGTGGCTCAGTCTAACCATGAGGTGGCAGGGGTGGGGAGTGGGTGGAGGAAGCTTGCTCTTTCCTAAGACCACCAGGGAGGATGATTAAAAAACATTCTATACTTAGAAGCTCTTGGTCTAAGACTGATGCCTACTTTCATCCCCACCCTTCCCAGACCACTCATGGCAGAATATCCTTTAACCCAGAAACATGAGGTTCCCTAGGAGATGAAAACCGTGGCAAACTTTATGCTTCTTAACTATTCTGCAAGAGTATAATTGGGTAACATTTATACTGACTTTCTTTATAGAAATTCACTGATGGAGGGCGCCTGAGTGGCTCAGTTGGTTAAGTGTCCAACTCTGGATTTTGGCTCAGGTCATGATCTCACCCTGATCAGCCCCATACCAGGCTCTATGCTGGGGCCTGCTTGGGATTTTCTCTCTCTCCCTCTCTCTGCCCCTCCCACTGCTCAAACTCTTGCTCTCTCTCTCTAATAAATAAACTTTAAAAAAATTCACTGATGGAATCAAAATGGTCTATTTTGCTTTGGGGACAATTGGTTTCCTCCAACAACACAAGGTTCCTGAGGATTTTCTGACTCCCTAATTAGTTAACAGTTTTGAATCCCATATACCGGTTGGGATCTTTAAAAACTAAGAGATGGGGGAGACGGCAGAAGGGATTCAAAACTGGGATGTGAACTTTAGTCTGCAGATCCTTTCACAGCAAGGCACCATTCTCCCTGTCTCCACTAGAGGCTCAGTTAGAGACTCAATAAAATACTGTTTCTAAGGAGTGCCAATTATTTCTCTGGGAAGTGAGAAGTCAGTACAATTAAAAAAAAATTTTTTTAACGTTTATTTATTTTTGAGACACAAAGCATGAATGGGGTAGGATCAGAGGGAGACAGAATCCAAAGCAAGCTCCAGGCTCTGAACTGTCAGCACAGAGCCCGACATGGGGCTCGAACCCACAAACTGAGATTATGACCTGAGCTGAAGTCAGATGCTTAACCAACCAAGCCACTCAGGCACCCCAAGCCAGCACAATTTTTATTGCAAATTCATTCTCATTAAGTTACCACACATTGTTTCTCGATTATTAAAGTATATTCTCATTATAATAATTTTTAGGAAATACTGGATGGCATAAAGAATTAAAGAAAAAACAAGAAATTATACCTAATCCTCTCTCCCAGGGATAATCAGTTGATACTTTGATATGTCTCTTTATAGATTTATAAATATATACACATACATATAAAAGACATGTTTCACAAATAACATCATATTCTTCATCATTCTAAAACTGTCCTTCTTTTCGGGCACCTGGGTAGCTCAGTTGGTTAAGTGTCCGACTTCAGCTAAGGTCATGATCTCACCGTTCATGAGTTCGAGCCCCACAATGGGCTCTGTGTGGACAGCTCAGAGCCTGGAGCTTGCTTCAGATTCTGTGTCTCCCTCTCTCTCTGCCCCTCCCCCCCCACATAAATAAACATTAAAAAATTTTTTTAAACCTGACCCTCTTTTTGGACTAATATATTACTGGTATGTTGGTATGTTTCCAGTTAGCACAAATATTTTTTGTTTTATGTTATTATTATCTTATTATTTTTAAGAGTTAGTGGTTTTGTTTATTTCTGAAAGAGAGAGATAGAGTGTGAGCAGGGGAGGGGCAGAAAAAGGAGACACAGAATCCAAAGCAGGCTCCAGGCTCTGAGCTGTCAACACAGTTGACTCGAACTCAGGAACTGTGAGATCATGACCTGAGCTGAAGTCAGACACTTAACTGACTAAGCCACCCAGGTGTCCCTAGATTTTTTTTGAGTATTCTCTATGCCCAAATGGGGCTCAAACTCATGAACCCAAGATCAAGAGTTATATATTCTACTGATTGAGCCAGCTAGGTGTCCCTAAATTTTTCCTTCTTTATTTTTAAAGAAATCTCTACACCACAATCCTGAGGTTAAGAATCATATGCTGTACCAACTGAGTCAGCCAGGCACCCTAACTGGCACAAGTATTAAGTTGTGTTTTTAAAGTCTTAAAATTGAGAAGGCTAGAAATCATTCCACCTTTTTGAAAGGGCCTAAGTCACCCCAATACTTTCTGACAGGCCCACCAATTAGGGTGGATAATTGCTTAGGACAAAGAAGGCACATTCACAGAAACTTCCAATTTAAACTTTTAAAGGCATTACTGAAACATATTAATAGTTGCAATTGTGTGTTAAAAGCATAAATTTGTTCAATATAAAGACTTGCAATATACAACAATTTTTATCTGTTTTGCTGTTTCTTCATTTAAAAAAATTTTTTTAAGTTAATCTATTTTGGGGGTGGGGAGAGGCAGTGGGAGAGGGGAGAGAGAGAATCCCAAGCAGGCCTCACACTGTCAGTGCAGAGCCCAACATGGGCTCAAACCCACAAATGTGAGATCATGACCTGAGCCTATATCAGGAGTTGGATGCTTAACTGACTGACCACCCAGGCACCCCGCTTCTCCATTTTTAACCTGTGATTCATTTATATACCTGTGATCTCAAAAATCAAAAGCAACCTAGGACTCTCTGGACCTCTGAAAGGCCTTGACCAGGCCCTTAGTATCCTTCCTTTTCTCAATTACTAATTAGAGAGGGACTTAAGGAGGGCTCTATTCTAATCATTCTCTATCCTCACCCTCCTTATTTTATAGCTTTATTAAGCAGTGTACAGCAGATTCTGACCTTGAGCATTTTTCCTATGTTTATGTCTAGAAATAGCCATTTTCCAAGGAAGAGTTGCTATATGTTCTTATGACTAGGAGGTAGGAAACCTCCTTTCTTTTTCTTTGCCCTGGACAGGTTAACAATCTTATGGTCACTCCTCCCCTCCACTCTCAGAAACAATTCTATTTCTGTAGCTCACAAGATGGTCCTCATGCTGCCCTGAGTTACCATTTATCTTTTTATGTATACTGTCTAGTTCTTATGCTTAAAGTCTGTGGTTGCTGTGTCAATGTCTATATTATTTTGAATCCAACAAAGCACCACGTTCATAGCAGACACTCAAAAAATATGTTGATAACGTCATACCACTAAATGGATAGCTGAGGGTAGAATAACTTTCTAGAAGAAAATGAGGTAATCTTTATTTTTAAAAAATTTTTTGAAGTAATCTTTATTTTCAATCAAAACTGCTTTTGGTTACCAGGAAGATGCAGACCAATGAGAGGCCATCCTGGAATTGCTGGTTAACACTTGAATTCATCTGTCTGAATTTATATTCTTTTCTCTCATATTTCTTTATCTCTTCATCTTTCTCTCTGTTCCTTATTCTATCACTTTTCTTTTTCCTTCTTTTTCTTTTTCTTTGCCTTATTTAATGACCTGACTTACCAGTCATCTATTACCAGAAATTTCATTTAATCTGAATTCCTGGGGAACTTGGACCCATATCTATAGTTAAATTTCAGGCTCCCAAAGCCTTTTTTCTAACTAACCTTCCTTCATGCAGTACAGTGTAGCAATGGGTGAGCCATGGGTTGTAATGCACAAACTT